AATGCTCGCCTGCCACGCGGGCGGCCCGGGTTCGATTCCCGGCCGATGCAACTTTCTCTTTTTCTACTTTCATTTTTTCATATATTTATAATGTATCAATTTAAATATTGAAATTATCTTTTAAATTAGTTAAACAAAATATATCTTCCGTATCTCTATCATTCGAAACGTAGATTACGTTTTTCTCACTTTTTCTTGAATCTCTATTCTCATCTGAGCATTAATAACTCACAGGTTCAATTACCAACCAGTAATTTACAAACAAGCTTGCAATTAACGTCTATCAATACTTATACATTCTATTCTTTATGGTTCTATTCTTCTATATTTTCCCAGTCTTCGTTGAATTGTTCAAAATTATTACAATTATTTCCATTGTCACGTCTTATGAATTATATTATTATTTTCATATATCTTTCGCTAATTAACTTTTCAAACTGTACATACTTGTTAGTAGGAAAAACAAACGGAATCTACAGCCACGATTTGCCTCCCCTTCCCTGAATCTCATTGCAGCATCGATCCTAAGGTCCCTGAAAGAGGACGGCCGTGAACTCCGCAAAGAGATACCACCAGCCTCGTGGTCTTAGGGTCGCCTGAACTAAAAACCGGCCACTCTTTCTTTTTCTCTGCCTTTTAGGCTCGCGTTTCTTCCCCTCCATTCTCGTCGTTTTCCCGATCGTTCCTCCCAAAGATTTATCTCTTTACGAAATCTCCTAAAAAATTTTCGAAACTCGTCACACCATCTGGAGAGTATCATCTTTGTATCATCTTCCCTACATGCTGGACATTTTGTCACATTTTACAGGGTGAGGCACAGAATACATATTTCTCAAATTATTACAAAACTAATTGTAAGAATTACTGAAGACTAATCTTAACAGTTCTACATTGCAGATCGTGATGAAATACACGTACGACTTTCCTAAGTGACGGAAGAGCACAGAGACGCGAGAGTACCGGCTACAATGACGAATCTAGATGCTCATCGCCGTGAAACAGAGAGCGCGATGAAATTGAGTATCGTGATAACCTCGACACAGAGCAAGTCGAAAGAAACACGATGCCAAGGCCGCGTCTACACGGCGAGAGCCAGTAAATGTCAGTTTAACCGGTTGAAGCACCTTTCCCTGTTAAAATCACTCACACGAAGCCGAGAGTAGCGCACGACTCCTCAACAGGGGAGACACTTTCGAGTGTACGAGACTTTTTCCAAGGTAGATGGTAAGTTCACGAGAGCAGAGACATGGCCCGTTATGGCTGCACGACGATGGAGGAATTTTTTTTTTTTTTTTTTTTTTGTTTGTTCTCTGTAAGCTCAGGTAGAAAGAAGAGGGAAAAAAGGGGGAGGAGGAGGACTGCGAGCGAGATGGCAGAGGCGATCTCGCTTGCGTAAGAGTAAGATGCGCTTTAGGGATCGGTTCGACGAGCAGGGCCAGGTGCATTGACTTTGGTCCGAGACAAACCGGATGTAGAAGTAGACTCTAGGCCCTAGACTTCTCTACACTCGGGTCTATTGACTTCGAGGAGTGAATTATTTGATATTAACACTAAACCTACCAAGCCTTCGTGCATATTCCTCTGGTAAGAGGTCATATGACCACTTTGAAAAAAAAACATATTTCTTAATACAGAATGAAGATTATAAACAATTGGATAGTGAACAAAATATTTTTTTATATTTAAAAATAAGTAATGTTTATTTTATTCCGTTTCACCACATTGTTTATAAATTAGAGGATTCTTGATTGTACATTTGCCACATACGTATTTTTCACATTTTAATATTGCAAGCCGTTTACTATATATTTTGCTTTTGACATCGGAAACTAACCAGAATTTCATACCAAATTTGTTCGATTTATTGGGCATGTACCGTGTAAATCTACACCTTGCTTTCGTTGGAAACGAAATTGTTCATCTATAAATAGATACCTGGTTTATAACAGCTTGACTTGTTATCGATGAATTTGCCCCAAACTTCGGAAATCAAGACGAAATTTATCGGTTTATCTAAGGGTTGGCTTTGTTGATTTCTGTTATCAAACCGAACGAACTTTATAACTTTATTTCTGCTCATGGTATTTGAGAAAAATATCCCATTTTTTTTTTTTTTTATATAACTTTGCATATTTATAATGTAGCGAGAAGATTGCTAGGCATACTCTCAAATAAACAATTTTCTTTAGATAGCAAGGAAGATAGTAGAAGGCAAAGACCGATTCAAAGAATATAAATAGGGTCGAATGACCTTGTTAAGAAAAAAAGTGATTATTAAAAAATGCATTGTACGTATGGTATAAGAAAAATCGTGAAGTTCAATGGCGATGCAATAACATCGTATGCAGGATATTCTAAACGAAATTTTAAAAAAGGCCCTGCTTGGTGGGTTTAGTGTTAAACGATTCTTATCTGCTAACCGATTCGATCATCTGTGGGCCAGATATATCTATACTTTGAAAATTAAGAGTTAACGTTAAAATTAAGACGAAGCAATTTCAACTAGATTTTTTTTTTTTCGAATACAAATGTTATACGCAGTTTGTTACCGGAATATGCGAAATTGAATATTTCTTTGTTTAATATCAAGTATTTACCCAGTCATTAGTAATACAATTGTTCGTATTGTTGTCGTTGTTGGAACAAGAATGGTCTATTAGTTGATAGTAAATTGTGAGTCGGATGTTGAAGACGAGCATATTCGTGCCTGTAACTCGTTCTCTTTGTTGTGCTCGGACCACGAAAGTGCAATGGCCGACCCTGAACCAGAGTCATCGGTGAGGCTAACCAGCGATCCCTTATTGTCTCGCTCTAAGACTAACTTTTCTCTTTAGAGATATTTCGAAATACCGTAATTAGCCAGGTGTCATGTTCAACGTGAGAAATTTTTAAACAAATCTGACGATCATACTCCGTAAAACGTCATTTCCACGACAATTTATCAAACGTTCTCCTTATATTCGTCACGTAAGTCAAATTTAAACACTTTAAACAGTTTACAATGTTAGATAAAAATTCCCTAGGGCGAGTATCCGCTAGGAAACTTAACAGAGAAAAAAACCATTTCGAAAGCATCGGTGGTTCAGTGGTAGAATGCTCGCCTGCCACGCGGGCGGCCCGGG